AAAATGAAACGAAGAAACACTTGGGGTGTGCTTGGATATAAATATTTCCATTCCATATTCGATCCAACTCAAAATCAAACTCAAGCTCATTATCTTCAATATTATGAATATAATTAAATAATATCATCAATTATTCTTATACATCACATCAACTTCAATTCACTATCCACCCACTCACATAATTTTAACTAACCATCATCTCTCATACATTTTTACATCAAATCAACTTTAATTATTATTTTTTAAATATTATTTTAATATAAACTCAAAATCTCACTCCCATTGACAACTAACCATACCACATTTTTTTTAAATTAAATCTGGTTAACAAAAAAAATCTATTTTGAGCGAAAATTTTTGTATCCAAACATGCCGCCCTTGAGGTCTATATCGATTGCAGAAATTTTTTAGCGAAACACTTGCCGAAAAATTGTTAGTCAACTAACAAATTCAACATGTTTCCAACAAATTTACCGCAGGTTATAGATGTCAAAGACGAGGCATTCATTCCCACGTGCATCGAGGCGCCCTCCTCAAACCCGATTCTATGGATGGTCATGGGAGCATCCACTTCACAAAGCAAAGACTCCATGCCCGTTGCCCGAGTGAGGGCAATATCGGAATTTAGCACAAAAAACGGGCCATTGATTGTGTTGGACAATCATGAGATACCGGGGTCCGAGCCCTTGCTTGAAGAACTGCAAGGTAAAATCTCGATTGGGGAAGAGGCGTTTTCTACTGCAGCCGAGGCCGTTAAAACGGCCTTGCGTAATTTGTTGATTAAAAAACAATACTCAACCGAGAGGCGCGAGTTGAGAAAGAAAGGAAGAAACGACAAGAAGAATCAAATGGTGGCTTAATTCGAATAATCACTATAATACCTTAAGGTTTAAGGCTAATTTATTTAAAAAAGAAGAAATATATTCCATTTCATGTGTTAAAATTACAGGTACCCTCTTGTGCTTGCAGTTTATGCATGTCCTTCACTATGTGTGAGGGGGGTGTTTGTAGTTTTAAGAGTTTGATGGGGTGTTTTTGTGATTAGTTGAACTTTAGGGTTTAGCTTAGTTTTTCTATATTGTCCACAAAAGAACCAGTAGTCATTATTATTTTCATGTACTGTATCATAAGCCAGATTGTGGCTCAGCTGCCTGCTTAGATAGATTTATTTTATGAAATTTTGAACGTTTAAGGTACATTTTTCCTTTTTTTGTTTTTTGTTTTTTCTATGGTAACAAACATTTCTTGTCCGCATTGAAATAGTAGAGCTATTAAATTAAATGAGCTGTTCATGAGCTTATCTCGGCTCGTTTTATAAAGGAGTTAAGCTCGAGTTTATTTAAAGTTCGTTTGGTTAATGTGTCGAACTCGGATTAGCTCGATAAGGCTCGAAAAGATTACTTTTATTTAATTTTTTATAGTTCGGCTTATTAAGGTTCAAGCTTAACTCGTTAATATTGATAAACAAACTGAGCTTGAGCTCGTTCAGGGCTCCAATAGCATGAGAGCTCGTTTAATTTAGGAGCATTATTTTCTCTCTATTGTTTGCTTTCTTATGTATAGAATTTATATTCATTGCCCTGATTAATTTATTGCGAGGTAGAAAAAAAAGTACGGTCAAGAATTGGACTACCCTAATTACAGAAATTTCACCTTTGTTCTTGTTTTTTGAAGATAGATGATGATATTATGATTAATGCCCTGTTGAGGCTTACATTCACCAGAAGCTTCAAGACTTCCTCAAGACAATTTAATCACAAAATCAAAACATAAATCACAAAATCAGTGAGGGAGAACTATAAATTTAGAAGATTGGGTGATTATATATAATTCTCTTTGACTTAGCCATTGACATATAATGAATTAGATCACATATAAAAGGGAAATAACTGCTGGCATAAAAAATTAAATTTAAGAAATTTCATATTATGCTTTTTTTTATATATATAAAAAACTAAATACATAGAATAAAATAACAGTATACAAGTGTATGTAAATCTAACTAGCATGGCGTATTTTACTGTGAGAGCTACGAAATAATTACTTGAAATAAAGAAAACTTTACGCCTTTCGTTTTTCGGTTCTTGAAAATAAATCTATATATCTTAATGTGCCCATAATTACGATTATATAACAAAACATCAAATAATAACATAGGACCCAAAAAAGGAAATCAAAGGGCCACCATTGCTATATCATTATTGCCATAATTCTACAAACAAATTGATGGCTGTAATATTTTCAAAGAATGCAAATAAATGAAAATGATGGTCATGTGAGGAACCTTTTTATATGATTAAATAAAAATAAATTGAGTTGTGATATCGACATTAGGCATCACATTCAAGATTTACGTCATAAGAATTTGTTCATATACATGAATGTTTATCTTCAAAATAATTGAACTTTGTTTGTCATGTAATCTCCAAATATATCACAAAATTTTGTATAAAGCTGACGAGCAGCTTAATCGTTAGCGGATTAAGTCATTATACATTTTAATAAAAAATGTGTACTTATATTTTAAAATATCATATTTTTTATTTATATATTTTTTTAAAATAATATTTTAATATAAAAGTATACATACTTGTTAGAAATGAGCCGAGCACAAACTAAAACAAGTCGAGCTCAAGCTGAGCCTTTGATTCGTTTATTAAATGTCCATGAACTACTCGACTCGGTTCCAATAACTGTTCAGAGTAACAAATTGTAAATAAATAAATTATAAATATATATGGAAGAGAGTGTCTTTTTATGATCTAAAAAATAGTTAAGTGAGAAATCCCACATCCCACTATAAAAGAACCAAATGAAAAGCAAAGGTCAATGAATTTTCCCTTTTGTATGGGCCCAAAAGTTGATTGGGCTGTAAATTGATGTGGGCCGGTTCATGATAGGACATGCTGTCATTTTATTTAGGACTTGGTCTCCTCCTTATTTTTTTGAGAAAATTACTTCACCTACCATTAAGATCAACTTTATTTGCACATATACCAATCTTATTTTTTATTTGTAAGTATACGGACACATTAATTTTTATTTGCGGATATACATATGTCAATTATCTCATTTACGTGTATGCTTCTCAGTCCTTCACAAGCACACGTGGCATATCTTATATTCACGCACATCCCAAATGAATTGTACATATATGAGGATCTATTAGACTTTATTTTCTCTCCTTAACTAAAGTTTGCTTTCGAAAAATGGTACTGACGACCACAAAATTAGAGGGTAGTGATGATGAACATGTCCACTCGGCCTTCGCTTCCAGATATGTCCGCACATCTCTTTTCAGGTATATTTTGATATCTATGTGATAGATTAATTTAATTTAATTTAATTAATTGATTCAATTTGCAGAGCATAAATGTAGATTTTGCAACAGAGTCCATCGATTCGACCGACAACAAGGTTCAGAGTGTCGGGCTTTATGCGAGTGGCGGCGAAGATGAACTCCACCCTGGTAAATACCTGATCCATGCGGCGGTTGCTACCGGTGGTTCGCGCATGGCCGTTTCTCGGCAGTCTGATCGGGTTCATGAATGGGTCAGTAGTGATGCTCCGCGAGGATTTGGCCATTGATGGTGTGCTTACAGGAACGATGAATAAAAGGGAGAGAAAAAATGATTTTTTTTTTTGCAGTATATGTTGCTTATATAAGAAGTATATATGTTCAGTATATATTTTCGTTGGTGTGTTTCTCATTTGGCCCGTACTTAATTTTTTATTATATACTGACTATAAACACAATATATACAATTAATACTTGAAATTTAAATATCACAATTGTGGTCAACAAAAATGCTATGTAAATAGAAAAAATGAGGTTATATACTTAATATATACTGACTATGAACGCAATATATACTACCTATTAAAAAAAATTGAATATATACGGAATATACACACAATATATACTACCTAGTCAAAAATTTGAGAATTGAAATTCCACGATCTGTGCAAATTAAGAAAGCTATGGTTATATTGAATTGAACACCCTAATTAGTAGGATATCTAAATTACCACATATATATATATGGTAATCAAGCGTAAATTAAGGTGAGACGTTGTAATATTTTGGTAACTGATATTAAGAACTAATCTAATTAAATGTTATGTTTTAGGTAAATATGCAATTATTTTTATTAGGATTGTAGAGTTACAATATTTGCTGAGTCGTGTAGCATGTGTGTAAATGAGCCTATTTTTTTCTCTATGAAGTTTGCATGTGACTGATATTTTGTTTTGTAGAATAAAGTTGATCCGATTTAGGCATCATAGATCAAGGAAAATGCTCCCCTACCCACTGGGCACATGTTAATATATCAATCGCTTATGTGGCATGCACACGTTGGTGATGACATATTAATATCACTAACGTGTACATGCTACATAAGCGGTGGACATATTAACATGTGTCCACCGTAGGTGGGAGAACATTTCCGCATATATCAAATTAGATAAAATAAAAATGTCATGCATTTATATACAGACTTAAATCAATAAGTGTCATGCATTTATATACAAACTTAAATGTTGGGGTTAAATTGACTAAATTAAAAAATGTAGGTATTTTTTATCAATTCCATTTTATGGTAAAAATTCACTTTTATAGGTATGAGGCACAAGTAGGGCTGCAAATGAGTCAATGCTCGACTAGAACTTGGTCAAATTCAAGCTCGAGTCGAGTCTCGAGCATCATTTCTAGAGGCTCGTAAGCTTGACGAGCCGCTCGATTTTTTGTTTACATAAATACGCCATATAATTTAATTATCAATATTAGAACATCAATGTCAAAATTGTCTATTTAAATAAAAAATAGTATCTTTATAACTAACTTTTTTTTAAAAAAAAATTTGAGCCGAACACGACCCATACCGAGCATCTAATCAAGCTCGTGTTAGTTTTTTTATTAATTTGTTGTCCCACATCGGATGTATAGTAAAGATGTGTAGGATCTTATTAGTATAAATAGGTCCCTTGCCTTTGGGTTACAATTGCACCTTATTCTATTCTCTCCTCTCTTAGAAGGAAATCCTTAATTAAGAAAATCCTAATTTGTGGATTATTTAACCCTAATTGTATTTTGTTGGTGAGTTTAGTAAATTTGGCGTTGCGGTTGGCGGTGCCCGGAGACGTAGGCAATATTTTTCGAACTCCGTTATCAATTTTTGTGTTCTTTTTTCTTTCTCGTCTTTTATTTATTTGTGTTGGCTTATTTTCGTTTGAAGTAGTGCTTGCCATATTTGTTGTAGGGGTATTTTTGTCCGCTGCGATTGGTGTTCTACCCCAATAAGTGGTATCAGAGCCGAAGGTTTGCCCTAGGCTTATTCGGAGAGGTGAGCACTGCATTCGGGTCCGAGATGTCCAAGGAGGTCAAGAGCGCATCATCCTCTGCGTTCATTCCGGCAAGGACGGTGATGCCGAACGTCAGACTCCCAGTGGAGACCTATGATGGGACCGGTCATTTCGGCATGTAGCAAGGCGAGGTGCTGGATTGTCTATTTCAGCAAGGCGTCGACATTGCAATTGAAGAAGAGAAGCCAACCGACATTGAAGAGAAGGACTGGAAGAATATCAACCGCTTAGCATGTGGAACAATCCGTTCGTGTTTTTGTCGAGGGAGCAGAAGTACGCGTTCAATAATGAGAACTCTGCTCACACTCTGTGGAAGGCTTTGGAGGATAAATTTCTAAAGAAAAGCGGCCAGAATAAGCTCCTCATGAAGAAGCGATTGTTCCGATTCGAGTACCGACATGGCACATCGACAAATGACCACGTCACTGCATTCAATCAGTTGGTTGCAGATTTGTTGAATTTGGACGTCACATTCAGCGATGAAGATTTGGCTCTAATGTTGTTATCGTCACTTCCGGATGACTTCAAGCACTTGGAGACTACACTGCTCCAAGGGAAGGACGATGTAACTCTTGCAGTGGTCAGTTCTGCTCTGTATAGCTACGAGTTGAGGAAGAAGAACAAACAAGAGACGAAGAATGCAGCAACAGAAGATGAAGCGTTGATTGCAAGAGGTCGGTCGAAGAGCCAAAAGAAGAATGACGAGGAAGATCACGTTCCAAGGCCAAGCTTAAAAAAAAAAGACGAATGTGTTTTCTGCTATGAGAAAGGACACTGGAAGAAAGACTGTCCTAAGTTGAAGAAGAAGGGAAAATCTCTTCAAGATGCATATGTTGCTGAGGGTGGAAGTAAAGACTCAGAATATTTACTTGTGGTTTCACCTTCATCATCTCATCTAGATGAATGGATTTTGGATTCAGGATGCATCTACCATGTGTCTCTCATAAGGGAGTGGTTCTTTGAATTTCAAAAGATCAATGGAGAGGTTGTCTATATGGGTAATGGTAATTCTTGTAAGACAACTGGGATAGGTTCAATCCGTTTGAAGAATCGTGATGGTTCCACCAGAGTATTGACGGATGTTCGGTACGTGCCGAGTTTGAAGAAAAACCTCATCTCATTAGGAACCTTGGAATCCAAAGGCTTGGCAGTGATTTTGCGAGATGGAGTTATGAAGGCTACATCCGGCTCGCTCGTGGTGATGAAAGGCATCAGGAGGAATAATTTGTATTACTATAAAGGTGATACAGTCGTTGGGACAGCAACAGTAGCAAATTCCACCAACAAGGAGTCTGAAGCAGTCAAGTTGTGGCATATGCGGTTGAGACATGCTGGTGAAAAGTCCATGCAAACATTGGCAAAACAAGGACTGTTGAAAGATGTCAAAGTGTGCAAACTAGATTTTTGTG